AACGAGAGCCTGTGTGTGTGTGTGTGTGTGTGTGTGTGTGTGTGTGTGTGTGTGTGTGTGTGTGTGTGTGTGTGTGTGTGTGTGTGTGTGTGTGTGTGTGTGTGTGTGTGTGTCTGTGTCTCAGGGCATGGAGAGGTGGTCCGCTTCCTGCTGGAGGGTTGTAAAGTCAACCCGGTTCCCAAGGACAGGTAAATAGCGTGTTTTTATGAACGGCTACATGTCGTCGCGCTCCTCTAACTCTCCGCTGCCTCTGCAGGTGGGGGAACACCCCTCAGGACGAGGCGGTCCACTTCGGACACCACGACGTCGTCACCATCCTCCGAGACTACCACGCCAAGTACAGCCCTCTGGAGGTGGCCGAGGACAAAGAGAAGAGCGAGACCAACCTGGACGGGCTGCTCTGAGGGAGGAAGGGGGAGGCTGGGAGGAAACGTGTTAATCTGCATCACAAGGTCAGAGAGCAAGAGAGCCATAACTCGTAGAAAACAGTTAACATTACAACCGTAAAAACCCCTTTAGAAACGACTTAAGGTTCCCTTTACACACAGGACCCCCCTCCAGAAGGAAAGCCCCTCCTCATGCTACTTGATGTTGTCGGTTTTGTAATATATTATATATTGTATTTACTTTAAGTGAGGAATATATTGTTGTATTTCCCCTTCTGTATTCAGCTTTGTAGCTTTTTAAGGACCAGCCGCCGCATTGAATGCTGGGTAAATTCAGCTGCGGCTGGTGAGTCCCCGCACTTTTGTTATTTACTTTATAAATTATGGTTTTTATTCTGAAAAGCTTAAAAAAAACTGGAAGTATGGGGCATTTCAAACCCTGGTTTAAACCTTCATCACTTCATCATCATGGTGGTATCCTCCCCAACACTCAAGTGTGTGTGTGATATTTATCTGTTTAAGATAAAATGTAGTGTGTGTATATTCCTGACATGAGTGTAAATACGTACAGGTTTAACGTAGTCGTGTAAGGAGTTATATTTCACTGAAACTCTGGACAGCGTTTCCTTTTCACCGTCTTCAACTGTCGTTGTATTCGTCACTGTTACTCTGTATGATTTGATATTTATCTTTTGTAAGGAAATATTGTCAGCCAAAGTTCAGGCTGTCTGAGGAAAAGAGTTTTACATATTATAAATGACACTGCCAGCGCTGACAGCAGCTTGAATTACTGTAAACATCCCAGAGGTTTTATATGTTAACGCTTGCACTCAACACACAGATTATTATAAATGTAACTGGAGATCATGAAGTTCACTAAGTACATAAAACTGAACTTGTTGAAGATACGTTTAACATGCTGATCAAAACAATCACATTATGTGTATTTTTATTAATGCAGCCATAAAGAATAATATGGACTTTTTCTTTGTTCAGTGTATTTACATTTTCTTTATTTTAATTTAAGACTAAAGATCAAATCTAGTCCAAAAGAGACTTTAATTAAATTGGTGAATTGAACTAGCAGCCTCCACAAAGCTCTATATGTATATTTGAAGGTTATGGTCAAGTGGATTTAAAGAGTTTGATGTTCATCCAAGTCAAAGATAATGTCCTTGTTGAGTGCAGCTGTTGCTTCCCGTTACTGCTTTCAATCCAGAGGTGTTTAAATGTTATCATTGCTATTCATCTGAACATGTGATTGAAAGTGGAGGCTTTAATGCCTCTGGACTGTATCACAGGAAGTACGAGGCGTGTGTCGCGGTTCCTGCAGAATACTCAGGAAGGTCCAGATTAGAAACACAAAGAGAAGCAGCTATATATCGCGAAAAGGATTGTTTTTGTGCATTCTGTGATGTGCTGAAGAATCTGATGTAGTGAGAGGTCGTGCAGATGTTTCCAGACGTTGTTCTGTGTTTTTGTAGCGTGTCTGAAGTTTGGATGTTGATTCTGTGCGGACAAACTGAAACAGGCAATCAACATATATATTATCTACACTCCAAATGTAGTGCATTTTAGGCATCAGTTCATTCAGTTGGATTAGAATTGTTATTTAAAGGTTAAAAATGAGTAAAAGAAGCACAAAATGCAATATTTTGAGACACTATAGGCAATACATATTTCATGATTGTACGATCAATTGAGCAATATGTGTTGGTTGGATGTGGTCCCGGCCTGCAGCGACTGAAGTATTCTGAATGTAACGTGTTTCTGTTTCATGTATATTTATGCTGCTGAGTGTCGCAGACGGTTCAGATATTTATTCACAGATCAAACGTTTAATAAAGTTATTAAAACCAAAGAAGTTGTTGTGTTTTCAGTGTACCTGCGGGGGCTCACAGTGTCATCACATTAGGTCAGAGCTGTGCAGTGCAATGGAAGTTCACTTCCTTCAAACTCAGGAGTCACACGTTGATCATTTATTCATTTCACATCTAACCAGTATTCAACATTTCAAAATACACATCATCAAACTCTGTTTCGACATGTTTCTACCAATCAAATGTCTCCTTTGCATGTGAAGAGTGTGAAAGTAGATTCTTATTTGTTAATCTAGCAGGTTGCATCCCATCGTTGGCTACAGGCGACTCAATCTGAACATGTTTGGATTAATAGCTAGACATTTGAAATAGATTATGACTCCATTATTGTTATAACATATATGATTACCTTTCTACCAAACTGTAAGCCAGCGTCAATAAAAAAAGCCATTTTAAACTTATTTTACTTGAAGACTACGTTTATTTTACTAACATATTTTTCTGGTCAACTCCTAAATTATGAATTGCAAAGAGGCTTCTAGATTAGCTGAAACTCAAAAGCTGCTGAAATACATTTTTTAGCCAACAACAAACTGACAAATCACTTTCCATATCTGATAGTCAACAAGAGTTCAAAATGACGCAATTGAATCCAAACCGTGGTAACCAGGTAGTTTAGTTTGTCCTGTAACGGGAGCAAATCAGTTTCCCTAGGAACGTAATTGAGTGTACAGTTTGGTTATTTGAGAACATTATTTCGTAGGACAAAGATTTACTGGACATTTATCCTCTAAAATAAAACAGAAGGTTGATTTTAATCTGTGGGTCAGACCTGTTTTGCAGCCAAACCACAGCAGTGACTAGTTTTCCCACAATGCCCTGCTGGTTGCTCGTTGCTAGGCTTATTCTTCTTCTATTGTATAATTTACTGTAGCCCCCCTTGCTCTTTATTCGTCCTCGTGCTCGTGCTCGAAGTAGTCGTGGCAACAGACGGTCACCATGGAGATGAAGGTCATGAACTCCTGGAAGTCACACTCGGAGTCTCCGTCGGCGTCCAGAGTCTCCATCAGGCTGTCCAGAGCCGCCTGGTCCTTCACATGCTGCGGGGGGGGGGCAGGTCAACTCAGGTCAACTCAGTGACATCACTATGTAACACTCCCACCTCTATTGGCTAGCGCTCCAACACATTGAACGTGATAGGCTAATGGGCGGGACATCTCAGCTTTAAATGCATATTAATACTTTATCTGGTTAAGGTCCTATTTCTTTTTAACCTACTTTATACTTAAAAAAACATCTGAAGTAGTGTTATATGGAAATGAAAAGTAGGTTAGTGCACACAAATAAAAAAAAATTGTACACAGTTCCCTATTGCCTTATTTCTTAATCCTTTAACTTTGAATTGAAAAGAAATGGCTAATTTTCTTCCTTCTTTCCTTAACATTGAATGCAAGTCTTTCACTTGTAGTGGAGTCACATTTTCAAACATAGTTTTTAGGAGTTAACTGCACAAAAAATGGCCAAAAAACAACTAAACTACATAAATAACATTGCAAATATGTTGAATTACAAACAAGTCAGTTCAAACTGAAGTTATATATTTAGCTTTTTGCTCTCACCGCCATGAGGTCCGGCAGCTCGTCGTGCAGCAGCTCCTTCAGCTCGCTCTTCTTCAGCTTGTGTTTGTCTCCCTCCCTCTCGGAGTACTTCTGAAACACAGCGATGATGGTCGACATCGAGGTCTCCAGGTCGGTCATTCTCACACGTCTTTTACCCTTTTCACTACAAAAAGTACACAAATAAATCAGTACTATTCTACGTTTTCTCAAAGTATTGCTTTGTTCCACCTAAGTTTGCAGAAAGAGTTAAATAACAGATTTATATTGTTGTAAAAATCTGTTTCATATTTTCTCCATCTAAATATTGACCTTACCTCAGTGGGAGTTCAGGTAGAAGTTATCGGGTCCTGAGGGTGGAGGATGATGATGCACGGCAGCCTTTATACTGCAGCAGGGTGTGTGTGTGTGTGTGCTGAGGTCATGCACACTGCTGACCAATCCTGTATCTGTTCCTCCCCTCACTCCACTGCAGCCCTGAAGCTAATGTTCATTAGTTGACATTTTGCATGACTCATTACTTTTTGACAACTTTTAAGCATATCTGGAATAAAATATAAAGAAATCTTCCAATTAAGGCAAAAACTGACTTAAACTAAGCGGTATTAACAAAGATCATGATAAAAAATATCATTATTTCCACAAGAAGAGGATGTTCTCAGTTCAGTTTTGTCTGTTTGTAAAAAAATAAAATAACAAGTTGACATTGTTGCAATGCCATTTAATTGAGTTCAGAAGTGTCCCACAGTTCACATGTCATAACCACCCCCCCCCCGCCCCTCCCCCCCCCAAAAAAAAACTTTAAATGACACATAAATAAACAACTAAATGTATTTAAAAAGACAAAGAAATTGCAAAAAAATAACTACTAAAAATAACTAAATATTATAATATATTTGACAAATATTTAAACTCCTTCTGAGTTTGGCGAAAATAAAGCAAATTGCCAAGCACTTCCTGCACAAATGTATATCCAAACATCCTATAATTAATCATCATTATTTACATCTGTATGTGTGAGTTTTCCTCTGATCAGGATCTGCCTGCGATGTGTTCAGGGGCTGCGGGACAAAGGGCCGTTTCAGAGGAAGCGGATGGCCGTGCATGTTAATGAAGACGCTCCTTTCACTGTGGAGTTGGGCAGACGTGTGCCCTCCGCTGTCAAACACACACACACACACACACACACACACACACACACACACACACACACACACACACACACACACACACACACACACACACACACACACACTAGGGTGGCCAAGTTTATACTCTCAAAATGCTGTAAACCGTTTAGGGAAAAACAGACGTATTTCGATTTCTACAGCATTTTTACAAAGTCTATCACTGCATACATCTTAAAGAATATTTTTAAGATATCATAGCTGCAGAATAAAGCTAAATTGTGACAGAGTGAGTAAATCCTGTGAGTATGAATATTCTACACAATCTGCTGATTTCCCTCCCCGATCCCCACGACCTTTGACCTCTCCTCCTATGTGTGTGTTTCAGGAAGAACAGTTTTGTGTATCAGATGATAAACTGAGTCTTTGTCTCGCGGATAAATTCCCTCCTCACGCGGACAAACACAAGCTGTCTCTTTGTTTCTGCAGACACTGAAACTCTGTGAGCAGAAACAACCGAAGATCCTGAACACATCTGTCATCTCTCTTCCTCCGTCTGTCAGTCTGAAGGTTTGTTTGGTCTGCTGAATATCCCTCAGAGTGAGACCTCATTGTGCTCGTGTGTTAGAGTCCGAAAAAAGATCTTTAATTTGGACTTTTAAAGCAGAATTTGTTTTCATTTTTTTGTAATTTCAGTGCATTATCATATCAATTATCATATTTGAAATAAGACCCTAAACTTATTTATTTGTAGATGTTGTCAGGTTTTATCTTATTACTTTTATTATGATGTTATTTTTTAAATTGGATGTATTTTATTGATATATATTATTTAGTTTGACTTGGATATACTTTTACAAATATTTTGTATTAGTTTAATTTGGTTTAATTGTAAAACTGTTTTTCTTTTTATTATTTAACAAAAGTGGATATACTGTGCTGATTGTCATGTTTAAGGTCATGACGTCACCTTTCAGGTAAACTAAATATTTCGATGTGTAGATAATAAGTGCCCGAACATATGTGTGTTTCACCTTTACTACAAGAAACATTAAAGCTAAAAATAAAGTCAGCCTGCAGGAAAACATTTTCTCAGTCCTCTCGTCTCCTCTGCTGCGTCTCGTTTAGCATTTATTTTGGTCTCCATGGACACCTCGTCCTTAAACGACCGAGGCAACCGGTCAACAGCACCAGAATGCTGAGTAATCACCTGGCAACCACACACACACACACACACACACACACACACACACACACACACACACACACACACTTTCTAAATACGCAGGCTACTGTTTCAATATGATTACATTAGGGACAGACTACTGACGTTATAACACTGCAACTCATACCTGGACCCTCTTGCTAATATTATCAGCATTTTATATGTTATTTATTGGACTACAAGTAATATTTGCCTAGCATGCTGATTTGTACAATAGTGGGATTATTGGGACAGCACAGCAAGTCTCTCTTTAGATGTAGAACCAGGTAAACGTCGAAAAAAATGTAACTTGTAGTTCTCATAGTTCACCACAAGAGGGCAGCAGTGTCATTCATAAATCATAAAGCTCCCAAAAACGTCATCTAAAATCTTTGACTGAGTTTATTTCTATATTATTCAATAATAATCATTACAAAAATATTCAATATCGAAGTAAACGGTCTTTGTATGAACAAAAACATTTATTATTATTTTATATTTCTTTGTATTACTTTGTTGTGTTTTATTTCATTATGTTTTCATTTACTTCCACTTTGTTTGATTTGATTTTATCTTATTTAATTTTGATAAATATATATATGTTTAAGCTATTTTATTGTATTTATTGTATGCTTCATTTGCACTGTGGGGAGCACTTAAAGATTTTCTAATATTCAGATGTTTTTTACTGGAAAATAAAACATTAGAATCCCAATGACGGAGGGTAAATGTCACTTTGCAAAAGGTAAAAAAGTGCACAAATGGAGGGTAACACTTCTCCCACGATGCTCCTCCAGGAGGGCTGCACACAGGAGCAGAAGGAGTCCTCATGCTCCTGTGTGCAGCCTTGGCATTGACTTTAAGGCTGGAGGTGTCATGGCGCCCGTCTTTCTCCTCTGGATTAATTCCTTTCATGGCCTCCGTGCGCCTGGCCGCCGATCACAGAGTAATCTGGACAGATCCTCAATCTGTCAAATCCCATCTGGCTCATTTGGTTGTTAACTGCGGCGGCGGACAATAAAAGCTGCACAACACAAAAGAGGAGATTGTTTTCTGTCAGGTCAGGGCCGCTGTGAGTGTCACGGTGCCGCGTTTTACTCTGAGTTATGGCGGCAATCCAGACACTCAGGTGCTCTGTGAAGGTCAGCTGTTTGTCGCCTGCAGGTCTGAAGATGGGTGCCTTTCTTCCTGTCTGTTCCTGCCTCTTCAACACACTCACCTGCAAAACAACATTCATCCCGACGAGTCGTTGTGACTCTGATTCGCCCTTTTGAATCAGAGTTCTACAAAACTAAGAAGAAGTGTCAATTGAGGGGGGATTATTCAACATTTTCCAATTTAAATAACTTACTTTTATTAGTGCAGCCCAGTCTGCTCTGATTGGTTATCTGGCCAGCTCTGTTGTGATTGGTCAACACCTTAGAGCTCACAATGTGTTGGAGCGCTAGCCAATAGAAGTGTGAGTGTTACATAGTGATGTCACTATGTTCCGTAACACAGGGATTTTAGCCTTTGCAGATCATTTACACAAAACACACTACAGGAAAGAAAAGAAACCAAAAAGCAGAATAGGGCCTCTTTAAGGTCCACGTAATGACTAAATGAGCATCTTTTCTGCACATGGAGTCATTGCATCGGATTTTACC